GGTAAAAAACGATGATCAGAACATTCAAGAATTATGGGATAGCATCAAAAGACAAAAGCTATGAGTTATCAGGATAGAGGAAGGTACAGAGTTACAGAGTTTCAAACCAAAAGAATGCACAAACTCTTCCATGATATAATATCAGGAAATTTCCCAAACATCAAGAATGAATTGGAAAATCAAATACAAGGGGCTTACAGTACACCAAATGTACAAAATTAACAGATCTTCACCAAGTCACATTATAATGAAAATGCCTAGCATACAGAGTAAGAATAGAATCTTAAAGGCTGCAAGAGAGAGGATACCACATATAGAGGAGACCAATTCGTACCTCAGCTAGACCTTCAAAGCCAGGAGATCCTGGAACAATATAAACCAAGCTCTGAAAGAAAATGGGTGCCAACCAACAATCTTATATCCAGCAAAACTAAGATTTAGATTTGATGATGAAATAAAAACCTTCCATGATAAACAAATCTTAAAAGAATTTACAACTAGAAAGCCTCCACTACAAACATCCTCAGCAAAATATTCCATGAAGAGGAAATGGAAAACAACAATGAAAATCAGCAGAGAGAGGTATAACACTAAGAAAAAACTAATCAAAGGAGAAACCAAGTCAAGCTAAATACCAAAAATAAACAAAAACGGTTCAATAATAGATCATGTCTCAATAATAACCCTGAATGTTAATGCTTAAACTCACCAATCAAAATACATACACTGGATTAAAAAAAAAAAAGACCCAACAATATGCTTCCTCCAAGAGACTCATCTCATAGGAGAAGACATCCACAGACTGAAGGTGAAAGGTGGGGTACAATCATAACACTCACATGGACTGTGGAAGCAAACAAGGGTTTCCATCCTCATAGCAAATACAGCAGAGTTTAAGTTAAAGTTAATCAAAATGAATAAAGAAGGATAATTTATACTGCTCAAGGGAACCATACACAATAAAACACAATGATTATAAATATATATACCTCAAACAATGGAGCAGTTACATTCATCAAACAAACTCTTCTAAATTTTAAGAATCCAATAGAGCACAACACAATAATTTTGGGTAACTTTAACATATCTCTTTATCACTGGATAGATCTTCCAAACAAAAGCTGAACAAAGAAACTATAGAACTCAATAATACAATCAATAACAGAGTTAATGGACCTATATAGAATATTTCATCTTTCAATAAGCAAATACACTTTCTTCTCAGCAGCACATGGATCCTTCTCTAAAATAGACCATATATTATGCTACAAAACAACTCTTAGCAAACACAAAAAAGTAGAGATACTACCATGCATTCTATCAGATCATAATGGAATGGAATTAGAAATCAATGATAAAATAAAAAAATAAAAGCTACTTCAACATTTGGAGACTAAATAATATGCTACTGAATGAACAATGGGTTGCAGAAGACATCAAAGAGGAGATAAAAATGCTTAAGAGGTAAATGAGAACACTGATACAATGTATCAAAATTGCTAGGATACTATGTAGGCAGTTCTAAGAGGAAAGTTGATTGCATGGAGTTCATTCCTTAAAAGAAGAAAAAGTCAACAAATAAATGACCTCACATTTCATCTCAAAGCCCTAGAAAAAGAAGAACAAATCAACACCAAAAGCAGTAGATGACAGGAAATAATTAAAATTAGAGATGAAATAAAAACAAACTGAACAATTGAAAAAATTGATGAAACAAAAAGTTGGTTCTTTGAAAAAGTAAATAAAATTAACACACCCTTGGCCATACTAATGAGGAGAAGGAGAGAGAAAACTCAACTTGCTAACATACATGATTAAAAAGGAAATATCACAACAGACACTACAGAAATACAGAATATAATTAGAAATTATTTTGAAAACTTGTGCTCCAATAAAATAGAAAATATTGAATGCATTGGCAAATTTTTGGAGTCATATGCATTTGCCCAAATTGAATCAGAATGATATACACAATTTAAACAGATCAATTTCAAACAAGGAAATAGAAGACACCATGAGTTGCTTACCAATGAAGAAAAGCTCAGAACCAGATGGATACACAGCCAAGTTCTACAAAACTTTAACAAAGAGCTAATACCAATATTTATCAAATTATTTCATGAAATAGAAAAAGAGAGAGCACTTCCAAACTCATTCTATGACGCCAATATCATCTTGATTCCAAAACCAGACAAAGACACATCAAAGAATATCTCTAATGAACCTAGATGCAAAAATTCTCAATAAAACTTTGGCAAATCAAATACAAAAACATATCAAAAATATAGTGCACCATGATCAAATGGGGTTCATGCTGGGGATGCAAGGTTGGTTCAACATACAGAAAACAATATATGTAATTCATCACATCAATAGACTGAAAGATATGAATCATATGATCACCTCAATATATGCAGAGAAAGTATTGAACAAAATACAGCACCCCTTCATGTTGAAAACCCTAGAAAAACTAGGAATAACAGGAACATTTCTCAACATTGTAAACACTATCTATGCTAAGTCCTAGGCAAACATCATTCTACATGGAGAAAAATTGAAAGCATTCCCTCTAAAAACTGGAACAAGACAGGGATGCCTTCTTTCACCACTTCTATTTAACATGGTTCTTGAAACACTGGCCAAAGTAATTAGACAGATGAAAGAAATTAAAAGGATACACATAGGAAAAGAACTCAAATTGGCACAATTTGCTGATGATATGATTCTATTCCTGGAAGACCCAAAAACTTCCACCAGAAAACTTCTAGAACTAATAAATGAATTCAGCAAAGTAGTAGGATATAAAATCAAACACATAAATCAAAGGCATTTCTGTATATGAGTGACAAATCTTATGAAAGGGAAACAAGGAAAACTACCCCATTTAAAATAGCCTAAAAAAAAAAAACTACTTGAGAATCATCTTCATGAAACCTCTACAACAAAACTACAGAATGCTAAAGAAAGAAATTAAAGAAGACCTCAGAAGATGGAAAGCTCTACCTTGTTCTTGGATAGGCAGAATTAATATTGTCAAATGACTATACTTTACCAAAGCACTATGCAGGTGTAATGCAACTCCAATCAAAATCCCAATGACATTCCTCATAGAAATAGAAGAAGCAGTTATGAAATTCATCTGAAAAAATAAGAGATCCAGAATAGCTAAATCAACCCTTAGCAAGAAGAGTGAAGCAAGTGGCATCACTATAGCAGGCCTTAAACTATAATACAGAGCAATAGTAATTGGTGCCAATAGTATTGGCACCAAAATAGACTGGTAGCCCAATGGTAAAGAGTAGAGGACGCAGAGACAAACCACATAGCTACAGTTATCTTAGGCACCAAAAACATACAATAGAGAAAAGATAGCCTCTTCAACAAATGGTGCCAGGAAACTGGAAATCCATTGCAACGAAATGAAATTCAACACTCACCTCTCACCATGCACAAAACTCTACGCAAAGTGGATCAAGAACCTAGGAATTAAAGCAGAGATGCTGCGTCTAATAGAAGAAAAAGTAGGCCCAAATCTCCATCAAGTCAGATTAGGCCCTGATGTCCTTAATAAGACTTCTACAGTGTAAGAATTAAAATAAAGAATCAATAAGTCAATAAGTCAAACTAAAAAGCTTCTTCTCAGCAACAGGACCAATCGGTGAGGTAAGTAGAGAGCCCAAATTTTGGGAACAAATTTTTACCACACACACATCAGATAGAACACTAATCTCTAGGATATATAAAGAACTCAAAACTCTTAACACCAAAGAAACAAATTATCCAATCAATAAATGGGCCAAGGAACTGGACAGATACTTCTCAGAAGATGATATACAATCAATCAACAATTATAAAAAAATGTTCAACATCTCCAGCAAATAGAGAAATGCAAATCAAAATTACTCTAAGATTTTATCTCATTCCAGTCAGAATGCCAGCTATTAAGAATACAAACAATAAGTGTTGGCGAGAATATGGGGAAAAAGGCACACTCATACACTGCTGGTGGGACTTCAAATTGGTGTAGCCAATATGGAAAGCAGTATGGAGATTCCTTGGAAAACTTGGAATGGAATCACCATTTGACCCAGCTATCCCATTCCTCATTTTATGCCCAAAGGATTTAAAAACAACGTACTAGAGATACACAGCCACATCAATATTTATAGCAGCACAATTCACAATAGCTAAACTGTAGAACTAACTTAGATGCCCTTCAGTTGATGAATGAACAAAGAAAATATGGTGCATACACACAATGAAATATTATCAGCATTAAAGGAGAATAAAATCATGGCATTTTCAGGTAAATGGATGGAGCTGGAGAATATAATGCTAAGTGAAATTGGTCAATCCACACAAAAAAACCAAATGCCAAATGTTTTCTTTGATTTAAGGATGCTGATTTATAATGAGGTTGGGGGAGAGCATGGGAGGATTAGATGAACTCTAGATAAGGAAAAAGGGGAGGAAAGGGAAGGGAGGGGACATAGGGGTAGGAAAGACAGTGGAATGAGATGGACATCATTATCCTAAGTACATATATGAAGATATGAATGGTGTGAATCTACTTTGTGAACAACCAGAGAAATGAAAAATTGTGCTCTATAAGTGTAATATGAAATGTAATGTATTCTGCTGTCATGAATAACAAATTAAAATTAAAAAGAATAAATAAATAACAGAATAAAGTTTACACAATGGTGAATAGTCACATGAAAAAACAAATTAAAAACACTGGAATGTGTGTACACACATTCATTGCACTAATTCCAATGTATACTTGTATTAGAAATGGGTAACATTTTTATAAAGACTGGAACAAAACAAATGTTAGTAAAGATGTAAACAAATGTAACATGCTCATACATAGGAATATAAAGTGGTCCAACTACATATATATATATATATATATATATATATATATATATATATTTGGCAATTTCTTGCATAGCTAAAATCCTCATTCCTAGGTCTATTTAATACAGTTGGAGATTAAAATTCCATCAGTGGGAGAATGGATATACAAATCATAGAAAGTTAATAAAATGACAAAATACAATATTAAGCAGTGAAATACTGTTCCATTCACCAACATGGATGAAACTCAAACAATACTACATGAGTGAAAGAAGTCAGATACAAAAGATCACCTTGTGTGTGATTCCATCTATGGAAAGTCCAAGAACAATTAGAATTACTGACAGTGATTAGGATGGTGGCAGCCTCTAGGGTTGGGGATTGAGGATATGAAAGATGTAATAGGCACAAGGGAAATTTCTATCATGAAAACAAGTAGTGACCTAGACTGGGGTGTTAGTTTCATGGGTGTAACCTGCCACAAGTTGACAAATAATATACTTAAGATATGTGAATACCAATGTGTATATTGAACTTTAAAGTGTTTCATAATTGAAAAAAAAACAAACTAAAAATAGAGAAAAGTAAAGCCACTAAGGCAAAAAGTACATTAAAAAAATTATTCATTCTTCACTTGAATCAGCTTCATTGTTGTCCTGTTTAAAATTTGTCATATGTGTGCAGGTAGGTTCCGGGTGGAACACTATGGGGTTCTCAGCAATGTGTTGTAGTCTGTTGTAGCTATAGCTACCCAGTGGAACTCTGTGGGGGACATCAGTGCCACAGAGGTAATGTGAATAATCATAGACCTTGGCTTTCAGTTAATGATGGGGAATTCACTAGAAGTGGTAGCAGAGCTACTTCCAGATGACACGAGGCCTAGCCTTGTCTATAGTAGCCTCCAAAAGGAGTCAGTGATGTGGGTTTCTTTCATTGGATTTTTGGTGAGTCTCTTATATTTGTTCAGACTTGTGCACTAGTTTAGAAGATCACTTTTTGAGGAAAGCAAATGCAGGTTGTACACACATTCATTGCACTAATTCCAACGAAGCATCATTTTTTTTTTTGACATTTAGCTCTGATCCAAAGTAATTTTGATATTGAGTCATCTTTAGAAGATACCAGCCTTAAAGAAAGAGTCATCAAAAATACGGAGCCTGATGGACACACAGGGAAAGTTGAAGAGGACCAACTTAATCCTAAAGGAAGAAATAACTTCTCTAGTAAAAGAAGAAAATCTAGAGAGATGCAGACACTCAATGCAAGTGGAGATCTTCTGATCAGTCACCAGAAGATAACTTAGGAGTCACCCTATTACAAGGTTTCCCAAACACCGAAGTGGCTGGGAGCCTGGGACCTTCTGCACCTCACCAAAATTCTGAAAGAAGATCTCTTCATTTTCCTCCACTTAGAACTTTGTGCTACCTTGTCTGTTCATCAGTTGTCTGTGCTTCTGGGAAGAACTTAAGAGTTCTCTGCACTCTTCATGCCCTGGAGTTCATTTGTCCACCATCACATTCTGAAATTGGATCTGAGTAGTTTTCAGGGTTAATTCAAACTTCAAATGAGCCAACTATTGGACATTCAGAAATGAATCAAGAAATTTGGAACTTTTTAAAAAATTGTCTCTCTTCAAAGGGAATTTTAATCTCATTCATTATTTTAAGAACTGATGGTACTTGAGGAAACAGACTTGTGCTCAAAATAAAGCTGGATGGAGCATAGTTCAGCATAATATTTTGTAATGTTATTTTTAGATAAATTATATAAACAAATTATTATATTTTATTTGTATCTCTATACCTTATATATTGTATTTTGTTTAATATCTACAGTGTAGCAAAAAAAAGACATTTAAAATGCAATGGTAATTTTTGTTTGACTAGATCTGTATTTACTTCAGCTATACATAAGTGAAAAGTGATTTTTTTCTCCTTAATAAATAGTTGCTTAGTTAAAAAATATTAAATGAACACAGCATATATCCTAACCGTGGGTTATTGTAAAGTGATATAGAGGGCATTTTATAGCATGTAATATATCCAGTTGATAAAAATAGCATAAAGGTCTGTATTCAATAAGAATAAAGGCTAAAATAGACAAAGAACAAGACCCCTAATTTATAGTGCTTTTACAGAAGCTTTTAATAATCCCATTTACCAATATATTTAATTTAGAACCTCTAGACATTGAACTAGGTATCAGCATATTGTAAAACTCTCTTGTTCATCTTCATGTGTGGCCAAATTTAAGGACCACTGATGGTTTGCAGATCATTATAACGTAACTTATTTCATCCAAACCCATGTAAAACCTACCTTACAGCTATTTTGTCTTAATTATATACAGAATACATCAAAACAAAAAAATTCCACATAAATAAAATACAAAAAGCATTGTTAACAAAGTATTTCCTTATAAATTGATAAATAATGAGATAATATGATATAATAGAAGATCAAACTGTGATTAGGAGATATACTTATGAATCTATTAGTAAATTAGCTGGTATGGAATGATTTGATTCTTATTTCAACTTCAGTTTCATTATTTATAAAATAAAAGATTGCATATAAATGTTTTCCAGGATCCTTTTTAATCTTCAAATTGTTTGACTTTATAAATGAGTAGAAAATTTTGGAAATAAAGTGGCTAAGATTGAATTTTTGCTTTTGGACAATGGACCTTGTAATATATCTTAAGCACAAACTGATGACTCATTTCCTATAGAGACCTATAAACATTTTCTATCTTCCTAATTCCCTAGCAGTATTTTTTCAGATCTTGGAATTTTATCTTTTTCTGTTGTTATACTTTTAGCCCAGAAATTTATTCTGAGCATTTTTTCTGTTATCTAAGTATAAGCAATTACTTTTTAACAATAATTGCCAATTATTAGTAAAGTCCACCAAACTGAAAAATTTAGAACATTAGTTCTTTATATCATGAAAATTCATTTTTTATTTTACCAATTACATGAATATGTATGTTATGTGTGTCAGTTATTGCCACAATAATGCTGTTAAACTCTTCATGAGACAAAGCAAAAACAATAAAATAAACAATCGTAAACAAAAACAAAGAACCAAACAAAACAATACAGCAGCAACAACAACAAAATAAACCCACAGTATTCTCTTATTTTTAATAACATGGGTTTATTTTAGCCTCCATCACCTGAGTTTCTGTAGCTGTTGGAGGCTAAAATTTTGGGGACTTGGTTTTAGTCCATGGCAAGGGTCTAGGTTTGCTCTATATGTCTCTCATCCAGTAGCTACATGAGACAAACAAAAAACAAACCAAATATAAAATGAATACATGAAAACACACAATGCCTTTTTTTCTCTCTCTTAAGCTTTAGTCTCAGAGCTTATACTCTGTTACTTCTGCCTGAATTCTATTGGCAAAAGTTCATAGCTAAGCCCATATCAGAGCAGCTGGAAGTATATTCTGTCATAGTGGAAGGGGAGTGAATACTGCATCATACAGTAGTTCACACTATCATATCTACATATCTATCTAAATGTAAAATGAAGCATCATGATACCCTACTTGATATATTTCTCTGTTATTCATGTTTTCTTAGAATGTCCCATCTCAGGAAAGTTCCCTTCATATATCTGCTTCAACAAATATGTATATCCTCTTAGCTTTAGGATATTCAAAGCATGAGTTACTTGATTAGCTAGAAGGGTCTCAGGTGAAGGTGAAGCCAATCAAGATTTTTATAGTTAAAATATTTTTACCTAGTTATTTTTAAAACTATGATTTTTGTTTCTATAAAACGTATTTCGGTGTGGCAAGAATTTGTTGAATTCTAACAAAACACTTAACCTCAAAGCAAAAGTAGCAATTAAAAAACAAAAACTTGGGATCACTGCCAGATGACTTCTGAATCAGAACTTATTAGAAAGATTTTTATTTCTAAGAGAAAGAAGGAGGAGAAGGCATATGGGGATTGGTTGCTAAGAGTATTTTTTTAAACACTGGTGTTAGCCAGTTTCCTGCAGCAACAGTACTTATTATTCCTAAGAATAATGAAGAATTCACAAATTAAGGACTTCCTGAAGGCTGGTAGGCATGTTGTCTCAGTTGATTGAAAGCAAAATAAAATTGACCCTTAACTGCCAGATACCGCACTGGCTTAACAAAAAAACCCAGACCATTCTGAATGCCTGCCACTGTTAGGCTCCTGACTCTCCTGACTCTTCTCTGGAGGTCTTCCCTGTAAGTTGAGGCTGGAGCTGGACTTCCAGAGTTCTGATTTACCATAATGGAGTCTCTTGCAGCTGAATCAAGACTATCACTGTAGGTCCAGAATCCACCTTTCTCCCATAACCTATTTTTTTATATGTCCAGGATTGTATCCAGGTTCTGGAGGTCTCCAGATCTCATAATTCTCTCTTTTTAGCCACTGTTCTGAAATTGCCATGTTGGAAAAAAACTGTCCAACAGACTTCTTTATTGATTTCTGCAAGTACCCTATTTCTTTTTTTGGTAGACAGTAATTTTTCAGTTTTCTGTTGGGAGCCTAGCACATACTCCCACATCATCCTGGGTGATGTATTAGTCTTCCAGACCTATGGTACTGTCCTACAATGAGTTGCAATGGCATACAATTCAAAGTAAACACCATATCTACCACCCCCTTTGCCCTATTAAATATCTGTCTAAGTAGATGAAGACCCATAGATGCATCACTGAACTGGCCCAGAAGTGTAAGCTTCTGTAGAAAGATTTTTAATTGTTAATATAATTGAACATACATATGAGGTACAGTGTGATATTAACATGAATACAATATCATATCTAATAATCTCCTGAGATATTTAGCATTTATTCATGTTTTGAGTCTTCTATCTTTGGGTTCTTCTTAAAACACATAATAGATTACCAAAAACAATAGTCGCCCTACTTTGTTATAGAACACTACAACTTATTTCTTCTATATGATTTCATTTTGGTACCCATTACCCAATCTCTTTCCAACCCTTTGTTTCAGTTTTTTTTTCCTAGTGTGACCCAAAATATCCTACTAGAACAATTCTAGGAGGAAAAGTTCATTTGAGGGCTCATGGTTTCAGTGGTCTCAGTCCATGGACAGCAAGGCTCCATTCCTTAGGGCTCAAGGTAAGTCAGAACAACATGGTAGAAGAGTGTGTTGAAGGAGGAGGCTCGCATGATGATCAGGAAGGAGAGGGGGGGGAGAGAGAGAGAGAGAGAGAGAGAGAGAGAGAGAGAGAGAGAGAGAGAGAGAGAGAGAGAGAGAGAGAGAGATATCTCCACTTGCAAAATACAAATATATACCCCAAAGCCATGCCCCCAATGCCCACCTCCTCCAGCCACACCCTACCCACTTTCAATTACCACCCAATCCCATCAGGTGATTAACTCACTGACTGGGTTAAGGCTCTCACAACCCAATCATTTCTCCCCCAAACCTTCTTGCATTGTCTCACACATGAGTTCTTGGACTATATCAAGGGATGCCTAGAAAATTGGCAAAACATACTCTAGGTGTGTCTGTGAGTGTGTTTTCAGAAAAGATTGGCACGTGGGTCATTAAAGTGAGTGGGGAAGACTTGTCCTGAATGTGAGAAGCACCATCCAAGAGACTGGGGGATTGGATGGAAGAGAAAAAAATGTAACAAGGGAGAGGTGCACAGGGGCTGAAGCCTTCTTGAGCAAGTGCAGTCTTTGTGGCTGCCACTTTGGACAAAGTTAAAATTTATTTTACTAGATGATAATAATTTAACGAGGGTCTAAAGTGCTTGTGCCTGGTGAACATGTAATAATGTCTTTGAAAATCTGAAATAACTATAAGAAAGCAAAAAAGTGGGAAGTCTAAAATTCCCAAGGCTCTAGTTACCTCCTTCCACATTCATCAAGATCCAGAAATGGTCCAAACTGAACGCATGAATGAAACAACGTGCCCAAACCAGCTGGTGGGACGGTTGCAGTTTGAATCCTTAATTGTCTCAGGATTCTAAAAGAAGCTGAACCTTGCTGTTTTGGTGCTTCCTAAGAACCTATCATGTAGAAGCCCAGCACAACCAGATGGCTAAATCTAATTGCTCATTCCCCAAACACAGTCCTCTCTCCACTAGGGACAGTAACCCACTTTCAGAACTGCAACCAGGGAGGTGTTTCTTGTTCCAGGAAAAAGGGTTGGAAGAGTGGGTGAGGGAAGGCCTATATTTTATGTGCTCTCTATTCTGCCCACCTCATGCCCACAAGCAGATGCCGTTTTAAAAAGGGTTAACCCTCACAAGTGCTTGTTTAAGCACTGTCGTAGAGATTAGGAAGGACTTTGTGAATTCTTGAGTTCTCTGAGAGGGTTGACTTTTTTTTTTACTAAGAACTTGGATCTAACCTGAGATCCTTCCCATGATAATTTGTTATGACATAGATTTACTTTTTATTCTCAATCTGTGTTTTATTGATCTTGTTTTCCTTCAAGGGAAGCACAGATATTAAAAAGATGATTGCCTCTGATTTAAACCTTATAACATGAAAAAACCATAAAGGTCTCAAATCCCATGGGATCATATGAAAATTAAATTTCTATAATAATTATAACTTTTTTTCTGACTTTTATGGTTTTATATGTAATATCTCTGATATTTCCGATCTCAAACATCAAAACATATAAAGAACAACAAAACTCCTTAAGAGAGGTTGTTAATATTTTACCAGATGAAGAAATAAAGAGCTTTGAAAATTCCAGCAAACTCCTAACATCAGAAAGCTTAACAACAGAATTTGAACATAGGTCCTGCGTATGTATAGTGTGTTCTTCCCTTGAACTGTAGGAATACACATGAAGAATGTCCTTATTAATCATTTCATGAGGTTTCCTTATAAGGCTGAGGTAGCATGAAAACTTCTAATTCATCATTTCAGGGCATCATTCACAGAACAATTGCTATTCCAAAGATATTTAATAAATTGACTAAATTTAGTTTTATATGCAATTGAAATATTGGCATTGTCTATGTTTTCTGACATTATACTTCACAGAAAGGAAGCTTATTAGTTACTTGGCTGAATTGGAAGAAAATAGATTAAATTTTTTATCTAAGAAGTAATTCCAGTGACCCTGCTAAGAACTTCCCTAAGCAATTCTCATATCACAAGTGCAGTTACCCTCCTTTGGACTAAAAGATACATAACATTTTAGGAAACTACAATACATTTTAGGCTCTCATTTATAGCCATTATGGGTCAAAAATACATTTTTAGGCTTTTGGGGACTATATTAATAAAAGTCATTATATACTTAGCCTGACTTCTCTAGGGAGCACAGGAACTCCTGAACTATTAAATAAAAAGAACATGTGCAGGAGAAATTAAGTGAACCAGATGTTATCAGCAAAACGTGCTCAGGGTTCCAAATTTAGTTCACCAAATTTAGTTATTGTCAAGTGTCCCTAGTTAAATTGCAATTTTCTGAATACTGTTAAAAGAAAATCTCAAAACCTCAAAACCACAAATATTAAAGTGAATATTAAGAAAAAATAGTAATTATGAATATTATAATTTTAAACTCAAAGTTTGGAGAATTGATACCAATAGAGGTGACAGAACTCAGTTCTCATGATTGTTAAAGAGTCAAAGAAGGGACAGTTTATTTGTAGTTATTGATGCAGTAAATATTAAAATCCCAGTTTTCGGATCCCAGAGGTAACTTAAATTCAGTGATTAAAAAAAGAGGCAAATCAATATCTGAATAAGAATTTTGCTAATATTCCAAGGAAAAGGAGTTTGAAAGCCTCATTGTTATTGATTAATGAGTGACAATAGGAAGAAAGCCAGCAAGCCAACTGTTAGCATGTCCTTTCTCATGAGGTACTATAGGTAACCTGTTCACCCGCGTTCCCTCCAGCTATCATGAAACAATTAATACAAATCAGGGCTCCCTTTTTGGCTGAGGGTCTTTTTTTTTTCTGAGATCCAAGATAGACTTTCAGTACTCTCCAGTCTGTAGCCCAGACTTCTTATACATAATCCAACCATATCACTTCTGCAGAACCAGAACTTCTGGATGTTGCACTCCTCAGAAGCAAAATATGATCATGTCTACCACATCAACTGCTATGGACTGGATAGAGTTTGTGTGCCCCAGATTTTCATATGCTGGAATCTTGGTTCCCTTGCATGGCAATGTGGAGAGGTGGTAGAACCTCTAAGTTGGTGAGGCCAAGTGAGAGGTAACTAAATCAGGTGGAGTGCTGCTCTCAGAAAGTAGCTCTCATGTGACCTTGCTAGTTCTCTCAAGAGCAGGTTGTTAAAAAACGAATGAGCTTGGCCTTTTTATATTTCTTTGCTTCAGAGAGCAGGGACTAGCCAGAATGATAGTGCCATACTGTTTGGACCTTCCAGCCACCAGAATTATGAGCCATGAAAACATTTTTCTTTATAAAGTACCCAACCTCCAGTATTTTCTTATAGCAACACACAATGGACTAGGACAGTTATACCCATAAGAAAAGTACCATATTCTATGCAAAGAGTATTTATCTCTGTCAAAATACAAGGTAGTAGAGAAAGCTGGGGTTCAAATAATCTTATTACAACAAAACAACCATGCATAGTAAGAGTCTTTAAAGAGAGTGCTAAAGGAAGGCTTTAAAGGGATTTTATGGTTAAAGATAATTTTCAAAAAAGTTAATACTTGAAATAATTCCATTTCTCTTATTTTTACATTTGTTGCTTGAGGTCTTATAAAAAATACTATGTATACTGAGATGTTAAAATATTTACCATATGTTTTCTTCAAGTAGTTTCATAGTTTCAGGCCTTACATTTAGGTCTTTGTTCAATTTTGAGTTGATTTTTGTAGAATGTAAGAGATAGAGAAAGGCATTATGTATATTTATTAGTGAAATAAACCAGACACGTTAATATTCTGTCTCATATATGGGAGCTAAAAAAGGTTGACCTGAATGTAGAACTGTTATTATTGGAGGCTGGGAATATTTCTGTCTAACCCAGAAGCTTCTCTTGTGTTCACTGCCAGTCAATTCCTCACCACCACTGCAGAGACAACCCCTTATCTTTTTTTTTTAAATTAGCTTTATTTTATCTTCCCTAGAATGTTGTATAATAGCTACCAGTAAGTACATTTTTTCCCTAAAGGTACTTTTTTTTGCAGTATAATGTCATTTTACTTTGAGAGTAATCCAAATTATTGCATTTAGCAATTGTTCATTTCTTTTGATTGCAGATCAGTACTTCATTATACAAATGTACTACATTTTGTTTATCCGTTCTCAGAATATTCCTAGTTTTAGGCGATTATGAACAAAACTGCTATGAAAATTCTTGTACAAACAGTTTTTTTGTGGACTATGCTTTCATTTTTCTTAGATAAATACCTAGAAGTAGACATGCTGGATTATAGGTTAGGTATGTTTAATTTCACAAGAAACTACTATAACTTTCCACAAAGCATTGTGTATACTTTCATATTTCTAAAAGAAGTGCATATTTCTAACAGAAATGCTGAAGAGTTCTTCCTATTGGTGTGTGCAGGGGTGAGGGTATGGGGTGGAGAATGCAGTCTCAAGCTCCACTGTTTCTGGATCCTGGCTGCTCTTTTACAAACTCCTATAGCTTAAAGCTTAGCAGGTGGAGAGAGAAGAACATGTGCAAAGCTTGGACAATCCATCTGTACCCTGTTGTTACCCATTCTCCATCCCAGGCAGAGTCCAGTACCATGTGGTTTTTATCCAGAACTCTCCCAGTATGTTCTGATTTGTCCACATGTTTAAAAAGAGAAAGCTCAGGGTGGCACAAGTCAGTGCAGTGTAGGGAGAAAAGAGAGCACTCACAAAACAAAATCCCCTTTCTCCCCGATTTCACCTCCATTATGACCTCTGACATTTGCAACCACTATTTTTTCCCACCCCAAACTCTTTCTTCACACTGGAACCTAATTATATTTTGTTGTCCTCAGAAACTTAAAAATAATTATTGAAAGACCCACCAACTTCTGCACTTCCAAGGTGGCATTCAGCAGAAGGAGGCAGCAATTACTCCAGAAACTTATTTATGTATTGATCAGGTTCACTGATATGTAATTTATATTAGTGTAACCACTTTTGGGGGGGGTACAATTTGATATATTTTAATCAATATATAAAGTCATGTAATCAGTACAAATATCAGATATGAAATAGTCCTATCACTTCAAAAGTTCCCTCATACTCTCTTATATTCAGTCCCTTCCCCCTTACCCCACCCCTGGTCTGATGTCTGATGGCCTAGTTTTGTCTTTTCTTGACTTGTCTAAATGACAGCATGCATTATGTAGCATTTTGTGTCTGGTTTCTATTACCTAGCATAATGCTTTTAAAATTCATCCATGCTGGTATGTGAATCAGTAGCTCATGGCACTAATACTTTTAAGTATGAAAAATTAACTCAAAGAAGTTAATAGGCAATGTAATCTCAATTGCTCTCTACAAGAGGATTTTCTGAGCTAGTTTCAGAGAGCATCAATTCTATAAAATTAGATGCCTACTGTTTAAAACCATTTTCTAATCCATTATAATGTGTATCATTTTTTTTCTATCTCAAAGCCTCAACAAAGATTTGTCTTTTTTTTTTTTTTTTAATGAAAGCACTGAACTTCTGGTGCAGTGTGTACAAAGTCTTAAGCTAAACTTCTGGTTCAGTGCTTTGCAGAAAAGCATGCTTTGATTAAATAACTTTGGAGATGTTTCAGGCTGTAAACCCCTCCAGAGATTCACATTAGCATATCTAAATTCCACAAAAATCCTGGATTAAAGAAATCCAATTAACATCCCTACATTTTCTAAGTTAAACCATAGTACTGCATGCAACGGAATGTTCTGTAATGGTAGAAATTATACTTGTGGTGTCCAATAGAATAGCCTTTGGTCATATGGGGTTATTAAACACTTGGACTATAACTGAGGAACTTAATTTTTAATTTTATTTAATTTGCATAGTCATATGTGACTAGTGGATTTGTATTGGATAGTGCAGTTGTAGAGTCTTTAAAAAATTTCCCTTCACAACACTTCTTTTTATATCCTGTTGAAACATTACCCTATGAAGAACTGGCAACATAGCATGCAAACCCAAGGCAAAGTGAAAACGTGGGCCTTACTTTGTTCAGAAGACAGAAAAAAGTGCTTAAGAAAGGTGTAAAGTATAGATTTCTTCTTCCTTTCTTCTGTGGTCTCTCTTTTGATTAATCATGAAGGTTTATTTGCTTCTTAATGTTGTTCTAAGTAGAAAAAATATTAAAATGGTAAATTATTAGCTTGTAGTTCACCATTCATCTTTACCTTGTGCAGAGTCAGTTTAAAATACAAATATTAGGTCATTTAACTTATATATACAATAACCCAAAGTGTACAATTCATAATTTGTAGCTTCTGCACATGTGTGTCATTCTTTCCAAACTCTGGAAATGCTCACAAAACTTATTTGACTTTTTATTTCCCTTTGGATACATGCTTAATCTATCAATGTTTTATACCTTGAGTTCAGAAGAGGTGAAAGAGCAAGGAAGTAAGGGTTTTCTGGTCTCCCCCCTTTTTTTTCATGCCAACATTTTCAGCATAAATAGTTGGCCGACTCAGGAAAATAAGATGAATCACAATTCGAGAGGGTTCCTAACTCCTTGTGTTTCTTAGGACATTCTTCTTGTGTTCAAAGCAAATTCTAGTTTGAATAAAAAGCAAGGTCTTTCAGGCTGCCAGTGCTCTCACTTGCTCAGTTATAGACATACCATGATTTTCTCATGCAATAGTTCCCTCTTTGTACAAGTGGTTTCACTTTCCACAGTTTCTGTTGCCTGCAGTCAGTTGTGATGTGAAAATGTTGAATAGAAAATTCCATAAATAAAAATAAAAACTCGAGTTTTAAATTGTACACAAGTCTGAGTAGTATGATGATATTTCATGCTGTCCCATCCATCCTATCTGAGGTGTAATCATCCCTTTGTTCAATGTTTCCATGCTGTATACCCTACCATCCTGCATCATCATGACTCTATGATTTATCATCACTCAAAGTAGATGAGCACCATCTGATTTGTCATCAGAAGGTCAATAGCAGTCTAATGCTATGTCCCAGTGCTATATCCTCATTGTCTTCATCTCATTTCAAGGGCATTGTATTGTCTCTCCTAACCACAAAGGGAAGGATAAGTACAATAAAATAGTTTTAGAAAGACAGCATGTACATAATTTAATTACTTCATAGTGCTCTAATTGTTTTTTATTATTAGTTATTTCTATAGTAATCTCTTAGTCTACCTGATAAATTAAGCTTCATCATAGGTATATATGTAAAAAAAGGAAATATAACATATACAGGGTTTAGTACTATCCCTGGTCCCAGGCATCCACTGGAGTGTACTTGGAATGTATCCCCTGTGGATAAGTGGGGAACTGCTGCCCTGACTCTGCATTTTGCTCACCTTCTGTGCATTGTGCATCTACCAGAATTCTGTATTCATGTATTCATAGTATTCATGAACACCATGCACAGTGAAGTGGTAAGAATGGGGTGGATGCCTGCCTCATCTTTGTCTTCTCTGCTCATGTGCATACTCCACGTTTCCTTGGAGTTCACCTTTACAGGTTTAAAGATATAGTTATTAAGCACTTCAAGAGGCCAGAGGGGCTCTCTGGACGACAGGACAAGTACTCGGTGCTCTTACCCACGTGTAAGTACAATGAGCGTGAGAACCTGCCGCTCATTGTGTGGCTGCTGGTGAAGAGCTTCTCCAAGACTGGAATCAACTATGAAATTATAATCATAGATGATGGAAGCCCAGATGGAACAAAGGCTGTCGCTGAACAGTTGGAAAAGATCTGTGGACCAGACAAAATTCTAAGACCACGGGAGAACAAGCTGGGACTAGGAACTGCATATATTCATGGAATGGAACATGCCACAGGAAACTATATAGTTATTATGGGTGCTGATCTCTCACACCATGAAGCAAAAAGAGGGCAATTTTGATATTGTCTCTGGAACTCGCTACAAAGGAAATGGTGGTGTATATGGCTGGGATTTGAAAAGAAAAATAATCAGTCGTGGGGCCAATTTTATAACTCAGGTTTTGTTGAGACTAGGGACACCTGATTTAACAGGAAGTTTCAGATTACACCAAAAGGAAGTTCTACAGAAATTAATAGAAAAATGTGTTTCTCAGGACTATGTCTTCCAGATGGAGATGATTGTTCTTACAAGACAGATGAATTATACTATTGGTGAGGTTCCAATATATTTGTGGATTGTGTTTATTGTGAATCCAAGTTGGGAGGAAATAAAATAGTCTCTTTCTTGAAAGGATTGTTGACTCTTTTTGCTACTAATGAAAGAAAGTTATTCATTTATTAAAAGAAGAAGAGGAAAAGAAGGAGGAGGAGGAGGAGGAGGAGGAGGAGGAGGTGGAGAAGGAAGCAATACTAGAGAATAAAACTGAGTTCAGGATCTTTCTGGTGCAGTGGCTTGTGTGTCTACATATTTCTCACACCCATAAAGCTGGCCTGAACCCATTGTACACATTTTGGGAAGCATTGCTCTGAAAAGTGAAATTAGTAACATAGCCTACTTCATAAGCTGTTTTGGGCATTAAGTGAATTAATATGTGAATCTGTCAGCAATTGTCAGAACATTATTGTACAACTCCAAACTCAGTGGCTTTAAGTAGTAAGCATTTTCTCTTGCTTACAGGCCTGTGGATATATTGGTGGACCTTTTACCAGGTGCAGGTCAGCTGGGCTTGGCTTTGCTTCACATTTATTCGCCTTCTATTAAAGCAAGCAATCCCTGGAACGTGTTCTCCTCGTGGCAGATGATAGGAACACAGGAGGGTGGCAAAACTCATGGCATGCAGAAAACTTCTCCTCATTACACATGCACAGCATTGCACTGTCTCATGTCCTAAACTCAGGGGCATGAGTTGTACCCTAATCTATCATGGTACTATTCTTTGGAACCACTTTGCTAATTTTTCTGACTCTGTATTCTATGTGGAGTTATGAGAGAGATGAATTTGAAGTTGTTACCAAGTTTTCTGAATCTGGACTCCATTAGGAGAATGTGTGTTTGTGAGTCTACATTGCAAAATACTGGGGGACCTCTTTGGAGAGCTGAAAAAAATCACTCTCTGATCTCTTCAAAAGATAGAGCAAAAGGGATTCTAAGAGGTTAGTGAGGATGTCATTGTGCTGTCCTTGGGTGCTAGGCTTTTACAGCTGCCATTAGCGGCCTAATGAAACCTTAAAATTGGTCCCTGAGAGTCAGATCTTGCCATTGATAGCCTGCAAAGACCACAGACACAAGGTTGATAGGCATGGTGCTAAGAAATGTTTCTTACCTTTGCTTCAAGTACTATAGGCTAAGATCACCATAAAGTAATGATGATATATTAGTCTTCTTTTAAAGTACTCTAGAAAGATGGTAGTTCAATATCTTTAGCAATTAAAGAAATGCAAATCAAAACTATTCTAAGATTTCATCTCATTCCAGTCAGATGGCAGCTATTAAGAATACAAAAAATAAAAAGTGTAGGTGAAGATGTGGGGGAAAAGGCACACTCATACACTGCTGGTGGGACTGCAAATTGGTGCAGCCAATATGGAAAACAGTAGGAGATTCCTTGGAAAACTTGGAATGGAACCACCATTTGATCCAGCTATCCCACTCCTCAGTCTATATCCAAAGACTTAAAAACAGCTTACTAGAGTGACATAGCCACATCAATGTTTATAGCAGCACAATTCACAATAGCTAAACTGTGAAACCAACCTAGATGCACTTCAGTTGATGAATGGATAAAAAAAATGTAATATATATACACAATGGAATAGTATTCAGTGTTAAAAGAGAATAAAATCATGGCATTTGCAGGTAAATGGATGGAGTTAGAGAATATAATGCCAAGTGAAGTTAGCCAATCCCAAAAAACAAATGCCGAATGTTTTCTCTGATATAAGGATGCTGATTCATAATGGGGTTGTGGGGGGAGCATGGGAGGATTAGATGAACTCTAGATAGGGCAAAAGGGAAGGGAGGGGCATGGGGATAGGAAAGACAGTAGAATGAGATGGATGTCATTACCCTAAATACATGTATGAAGACACAAATGGTGTGACTCCACTTTGTGTACAACCAGCACAATATGAAAAATTGTGCTCTATATGTGTAATATGAATAGTAATTCATTCTGCTGTCATATATAACAAATTAGAATGAATAATAATAATAAAACAATAAATTAAAAATAAAAACCACACAATAGCCATAGAAACAAAAGCTTTTCTGGAATAAGAAAAAAGAAGATGGTAGATTGTTCATTTTGTTTTTAAATATTACAATAAATACTAAAGTGGGGAAGGGGAATGATTGTGTCATCTGTGAAGATGTTTTGTAAAGTTTCAGAAAACCTTGGAAGATCATTGCTCTTCCAGTAGAAATCTTTTCTGGCCCACAGGTTCCCAAGAAAGGAAAAAGCTAAGGAAAAAAGTTTCTGTAGTTGATGCACTACATTGTATATGGCTTGATCCATACAATGGGCATCCCTGATTTATAACTAATCAAATGCTGAACAAATGTCTTTAGCTCTAGCACTTTTTATGGATTCAGAGATCACTTTTCAAAGAGCAACCAAGAGGAATGAGACAAGGATCTGTACCACTTACAAAATATACTCCCCTCTTCCCCGACCTCATGAAACTAAAGATTATGGCTTGCACCCTAATGAGGTAGGAATACTGCACACTGCCACACTAGCTTAACTGTGGCTGCTGCCAGGGACATTAATGTGGAGGTGATATGGTGCTATGTCTCAACATGTAATTCCAAGTGTATTTAATATACTGTTCTCAATTGTGGCTCCATTTCCACACTAGAGTGAGAAGATCTACACGATTCATGCTATGGTTGTGGATTTCAACATCTGGGAACAGAAGGTTTTTTTTAACCAGAAAGGGCTTCAGTGGTTGTATAAAAAAGTAGAGTATACGTACATGTGAGAATTTTTCTAGGGAGAGTGACCACAGGCTTTAGTAGATTCTCAAAGGGATTCGTGACACAAAAAGTTTAAGAACTACTAATTTAGAATATTGTTTATAAGGGAAATAACTTTTCAGATCCAGAAAAACAACTTAAAACAAACTTTTGGAAGCCAGCCTATTGAGACGTTGAGGGATACAAATATATCTCATAGTGATGAATCATCCTAAATAAAATATGACTTTCTGAAAATTTCAGTAAATCCTCAACCCAATTTTACTCTCTGTAAAATTGATTTTAAAGTATTCTTAGACTTTCTATTTAACTCTCTCCCTCCCTGAAATTATCCAAGGTACTAAGGGGCTCCAACATCAGATATTTTCATAGAATAGTTTATCTAATCTTTACTTTTCTTAATTTGTACCTAAAATATGTCTAAGTCCCTAAACTAATTTTGTTCTGGTTAATGAACAGGGCAGAAAGAAGACAGAATGAAACGATGGGCAAATGTGAAAAGTAGTTTGATGCTAAGAGAGTGACATTTTCGATCTTTAGGGAGTTGTAAATAATTCTGAGCAAATTCAGCCCTGACCCAAGCTGTCTGAAGGTTAGAAACCACAGGCTGATCTTGTGTGCTCTTGTGTTTTCACATGGCTCCACAGTGCCTGATTCCAGCTGGAACTCAACATGGAAATACTTACACTGAAATAACATTGGGAAAGGGGCCCCTGTGAAGTTTCTGATCAAGCAGGAATGAGGAGAAACTGAAAATCCCAGAAGACTGCCTTATTTATTATTTTTATCTTTACTTCTGCCTCATCCTAAGTCAGTTTCTGGGCAGATAAGGATCTGTATATAAAAGACATTTTGCAAGGTATATTATTAATATCTTTTTGATAACCCAAAGGTACTGATGATAAAGCAAATTTATCTGTGAGTGAATTGTTCAAGAAATCTTTCTTCCTAGCAGTTTTGGTGTTGCTGGGGTCTGCCACCTTTTCTAGTTCTTTTTCTTCCTCTTAATTTCTCACAAGTGAAATTTTTTTAGAAGAAGCAGTCCCCTCATTCTATTCTTTTGGTTTCTTTCCAAAAGCAAGTCTTGGGTATTTATTTCTGCATTAAAAACTGTTAAAATGAAGTCTGGCAGATGTAAGTCAAAATTACACACTGATTTTATATAATCCAGATTAGACTTCTAGGTTCTGCCAACACATGTTTTGCATACTATAGCCAATAATATCTTAAAAGTGTGTTGGCCTTAGCAAGGTGAGAGATAGAAGCAAAGAAAATGGGTTTGGGCTATGGACAACTAAGTCTTTACTTCTACACTCACCTGGTAGGTGTGATGTGTCCCCTCAGCATAGACCCAGATATCAAGAGAAATAGCAAGAGTTCTTCTTCCACAGCTGTTAAGTCTAATGCAATAGATTGGGAATCTGGCTTTGTCCTTACATAAAGGGGGTGTGGCAGGTGTATACTGTGCATTTTGCTTATTCCTATACTGTGCTATTTATTGAATACTAAACATGAATAGACCACATTTTTATTTTAATTTTTTATTGGTTGTTCACAACATTACAAAGCTCTTGACATATCATATTTCATGCATTAGATTGAAGTGGGTTATGAACTCCCAATTTTACCCCAAATGCAGATTGCAGAATCACATTGGATACACATCCACAATTTTACATAATGCCCTATTAGTAATTGTTGTATTCTGCTACCTTTCCTATCCCCTACTCACATGTTCTCTCTCTACCCCATCTACTGTAGTTCATTTCTCTCCTTGTTTATTTTCCCATTCCCCTCACAA